CCAACACACTAAGAAAACTCCACACACGCAGATCGAAAGGCATTTGCGATCACTGGAGGCTGTTGGCGAAGATATGAACCAGAAAATCTTCTTGTCCATTGTCATGGGAAAGCTGCCAGAAAGGTAATTTTCAACTTGGAAATCATACGCGGAAACAGTGCCTGGATTGTCCACGCACTATGCAAAGTTCTGTTACGATATAAGTAAAGGAAACATGCACTGCACACGCCGACAGTAGGCTAGTCACAGACAGCCCACGCAGTATTGGCGATTTGCTAAGCTACACACATTCATCGGAAGAAGCTCTACTATTACACACAGCACAGCGGTCACCACCCCGATGCTTTTACTGCAAAGATACCCACTTTACAGACGAATGTACGAAGTGTGTGATGCTAGAGTAGAGGAAGGCAAAGACAGAAAACCAGTGCTTCGTCTGCCTTCGGTCGGGACACACCTCACGAAACTGCCACAATCCTCAACCATGCTATCACTGTGGACGCGACACTCACCACAGAACCTTGTGCCCGGAGAAATTTGGAGGCAAAAGCACGAACGCACGGAATGGAGATGCGAAACCATTTCAATCAAGATCTGCAAACGCACGGTCCGAAACAGCAACACTTGCTGATTGCAAATTTGACAGCCTGAGCCAATGGAAATTCACACAGTGAGTGACACAGACCAATCGGCGGTGCTTATGCAGATGGCTTTAGCTGACCTCGCAGATAACGACGGCAAGCGGTCTTGCCGAGTGCGAGTGTTTTTCCTCACTGGCTCTACACGGTTCTTTATCAGCGAGGTGACGCAGAACATCTTGAATGCCGACGTCATTGGTGAAGATGCCCAGTCGATTGCTACGTTTGGTTCAAAGAAGAGGGAGACCAAGGTCTTGAAAAGGGGTCCAAATCCAAGTGAAGACCATTGATGGCGGTAAAGTCCCCATTACAGCAAACATCACCCCGAACATCAGTTCTACAATGAGGCGCCTGCCAATCGGTATGAGGAAACACCCCAGCCTGCAGTGAATGGTCTTAGCAGAACCCATTGCTGATCGACCAGAAGACGTGACAATAGACATGCTCATTGGTAGTGACTACTACTACGATATCATTGGAAACGACCATGTCAGATTCTCGGATGGCCTAGTTCTTCTGGACACCAAGCTTGGATTCGTTCTGACAGGTCGGGCTACCACGTCTGCAGATCTACCCCAAGTCTGCACTCTGCAGCCTGAAGATGCAGTGTTGAAGTCATTCAATGAGACGGTGAAGTTTGTCAACGGGGGGGGGGTATACCGTTGAATGGCCGTAGAAAGATAGTGCGACTGACACATCTCTACCAGAGAATTACGAGCTTGCAAGTGGCCGGCTCCGCTGGCTTGTGTTGCGTCTGTCCAAGGCCCCAGAAATCCTCGACAAATGCAACGGCACCATTCAACGACAACTCAACAGCGGCATCATCGAGGTAGTCAACATGACCGAGAACACTGACGCATTGAAACACACCATTCCACACCACTGCGTAGTGAAGCCTGACAACACGACAACGAAGATTCGAGTTGCTTATGATGCGTCTGCCGAGACGAAACCCAACAACCACAGCCTGAATGATTGCCTCGAAAGCGGGCCAAGCTTGCTACCAGATCTGTGTAGAATTCTGGTCAGATTTCATCTGAAACCGATCGGCATAACCAGTGATGTAGAGAAGGCATTTTGCAAGTCGGGCTGGCGATGCCTGATCGAGACATCACCCGATTTCTTTGGCTCAGAAATGTCCATCAACCAGTCTCCGAAGACAACATAGTAGTGTACCGATTCAGCCGCTTGCCATTAATTTGGTGTAGTGTCGAGTCCGTTCCTTCTCACAGCCACGCTTAGTCATCACCTCGACATTCTTCAGCCTTTCAATCTTTCCTGATTTATTTCAATATTTGGCGTGACTCCTTTTATGAAAGATTAGGAACAATGCCACTTTTCTCCATTCTTTCCCGTTTTCATCCCTTCTTTGTGTCCATATGTGCCAGATAACTGCTATGCATAAAAATTCTGGTGTGCTTGCCAAGTTGGGTGTCTTAATACCAGTTGTCTGAGAACACATGCATGTATTAGTGGAAGTAAGAGGCAGCTGAAGCCTCTACAAATGCAGTTGAAGTCCGGGACGATGCCCTGATGCTGCCAATCTGCTTTTTGCACCTTGTTCCTACCCACTTATGAAGGTGTGATGAGCCCAAAAGTGAGATTATTGTCAAATCCACGCAGAGTTTGGACATTTCAGAGGTTTTCAGGTGTTGGGCGGTTCCCAAGCCAATTGAATCACCCTTCCAAGATTCCTTTGAAATTCTCTGCCCTCCGTCGAGGAGAGCCAAGTTTTCAGAAGTGAACAAGTGCGAGAAGTGTATACATGTGTGTGCATGCAGTGGCGTAGGAAGATGTTTTAGTTTGGGGGGGGGGGGGGGGGGGGGGTTGACTTCCAGCCACTGACCTGCTCATATACTGGTGTGGTCGTACCGGTTATCCTTCTACAGAAAGTTGTAATTGTTCAAGTATTTCACTCTTCATCACTGGACATGTGAAAACCTAGTAGTAGTACTCGAATCTGGACAAGAACAATGAAAGTCCTGTGCATGTATGTTGAATACAATAGATTGCATGCAGCGACCACTGGATAAGTAGCTCTGACTGACAGCCCGGTCAATGTCCAAGGAGAAATTTATCTGAAGGCGAAATGCATCCGTAATGGTGAATTAGAGGCAACCATAGAGCAAAACTTACTGGTAAGGACAGTGGGATAAGTATACGTTCAAGAAACCCTCTATTTTCAGCTATTACAAACAAGAACCCCGGACTCATCACATGCCAGTGATAAGTAGCATGTTCCGTTCATAACGAATTTTCCATGATATTGTAGATGACTACACTATCGTGACCCTGGTGAAAATTCATCGTCTAGAGGTCATAGGTGCAAGCCTCAGGCTCAGTTTCTCCATGAACATGTTGAAATGTATTACCACTGATCAGTCGTACCTTGCTCTCCGACAAGTAACAGTAAGTCTTGAAGTAAGTCTCAAAAACTTCTTCTGGAGAGTGGTTTTCTCCAGAAAGCTGCGATATAGCAATGAGAGGAACTGTTTTTGACTGAAGCAAAGTACTGCCGCCTTTCCCTTTTCGAAGAAAACCGCCCACGGAAAACGACCCTTTTAAATTAGCAGCTACGATTCAAAGACGACCTAGCGAGGATCTAGCGATCATGCTTCACGCCGGTGGCACTCACTTCTACTTGAAGTATTCTAGATGTCATCCAGTGTAGACTTTCTGAGCCTAGCGCCTGTCAAGTACACTGTACAGTGCTGGGCAAAGAGAAATCCAACATCATGAATAGAATAGCATTGCTGGGCACTACACTACACTACACTGCACTACACTACACTACACTACACTACACTACACTACACTACACTACACATACTGGTCTGTGCACTACACTACACTACACTACACATACTGGTCTGTGCACTACACTACACTACACTACACTACACATACTGGTCTGTGCACTACACTGCCCTAACACTACACATACTGGTCTGTGCACTACACTGCCCTAACACTACACATACTGGTCTGTGCACTACACTGCCCTAACACTACACATACTGGTCTGTGCACTACACTGCCCTAACACTACACATACTGGTCTGTGCACTACACTGCCCTAACACTACACATACTGATCTGTGCACTACACTGCCCTAGCACTACACATACTGGTCTGTGCACTACACTGCCCTAACACTACACATACTGATCTGTGCACTACACTGCCCTAGCACTACACATACTGGTCTGTGCACTACACTGCCCTAACACTACACATACTGATCTGTGCACTACACTGCCCTAGCACTACACATACTGGTCTGTGCACTACACTGCCCTAACACTACACATACTGGTCTGTGTACTACACTGCCCTAGCACTACACATACTGGTCTGTGCACTACACTGCCCTAACACTACACATACTGGTCTGTGCACTACACTGCCCTAACACTACACATACTGGTCTGTGCACTCGAACGCGGCGATACTCTATTCATGAGGTTGGATTTGTCTGCGGGTCAGCACTGTACATGACAACAGAACGCACTGCAGGGTCAGCTCGGACTACGATCGAGCTGATTGCATGACTCGTACTGATTGATCTGCATGCTTCTCGCTTGAACGTGCAAACACGTTCACTCAGTTTCGGCCCTACATCCACCAAAAGGTTTGGGTAACCTGGCAACCCCCTTGCCCCCCCCCCCCCCCACTTCCTATGCCACTGGCATGTATGTGTGTGTGTGTGTGTGTGTGTGTGTCTGTGTGTGTGTGTGTGTGCGCATGCGTGTGTGTCTCATATGGTGCAGTTCAAAGTGCAGTCGATTTCCAATCGAGAGGTGGCGGGTTCGATTCCCAAAGATTATGGTCACACACGTCTTTCTTAATTTTCTTAGACTCCTCTTGACTTTTCTTTCATTCGGCTGCGTGGTAACAACCAGTGCATGCCGGAGTATGCGGTTTGATGTTTGTGTGGGATAGAAATGAGAAAAAAAGATCAAAAGGCAAAAGTTAAGGATTCACCAGCCAAAAAAGCCACTGTGTGGTGTAGACCAGGCTGAATAGTGGAGTTCAAATCTTCAGCCTTGCAAGCTATTGAATGGTGCAGTCCCAGTACAAGTTGCTATGGCTTCTGCTGTATGCATCGCTATCATGACCTCCAGCGTCAAAAGGTCAAAAGCCAAGTGTTTGTGTCTCTGTGTGTATATGTGTGTGTATATGTGTGTGTGTGTCTGTGTGTACGTGTGTGTGTGTCTGTGTGTGCACGCGTGAGAGAGCATGCGTGTGTCTGGGTATGTATGGGTTTGGGTATGGTGTGTGTGTGTGTGTGTGTGTGTGTGTGTGTGTGTGTGTGTGTGTGTGTGTATGTGATTGTGCCTATTTACATGATCTACATGTAGGTGTTTGAGAAAGGAGGAAGGCAGTTGAACAAGTTTGGTACTGAAGGAAGTGGACCAGGACAGTTCAACAAACCAGTGGGTATTATCTCGTCCAACGGCAGATTGCTGGTTGTGGATCAGTCCAATCACCGTATCCAGGTTAGGCTATTGTTCTAGGAGGATGTCCATAGCATAATGTGTGTATATGTGTGTGTGTGTGTTTATATGTGTGTGTGTGTTTGTGTACGTTTGTGTATTTATTAGGGTGAGTTTATGTGCCTTTTGTGTGTGTATAGATTCTTGGTTGGAGAAAAGCAATTCAGCACACGAATCACAGAAGCAATACAATTTCGAGTCTTTCGACTAGGCCTTTCGTAACATTACTTTTCAAGTCGAATACAATGGTGATAAGCAAGGTAGCAAGCATGTCCTTATAGCCAGCACTTTGGCGGTGAGAACATTAACAAAATAGCATTTTAAAAGATAGCGATTGTGACCCCAACTACATGTTTACCGGTCAGAGCATTGACCAAATAACACTTTAAGAGATAGCGTTAGTAGCACCAAAACCACGTAGTGAAAATAATATTAAATTTTAATAGTATCAAACAACAATAGGGACCACAGTACTACAATGTCATAACAGTGACAACTTTTGCACATACTTCTTTTGCACACACAGTTCAAATATACACATGGCACTCATTGCCAACAGGGCACTCCTTGTCACTTTACCACTCAAGCGCGTGTGCTCAACAAAATCTCACCTTGCTGTTCTGGAGGCAGTGTACATTGCAAAGCTGAAGCCTGAACTGTGTGTGCGATAGAAGCATGTGCAAAAGTTCTCACTGTTTTGACATTGTAGTACTGTGGTCCCCATTGTTGTTTGATACTAGTAAAATTCATTGTAGCACTATTTAGTTGATACGACTAGCGCTGTCTTCTAAAGTGCTATTTGGTCAATACTCTGACCGCCAAATATGAGGTGCGGTGGCGGGTTTAGGTGGGGTGGGGGCACGCCCCTCCCCCTCTCCCCACGCCCCTCCCCTTCCCCAAAAAATAGTTCGACCTTGGTTTGAAAGAAACACCAGGCTGCTGCATGCACGGGCGGTAGACTCTACACAGTGGGAAGCAGCTTCCAAAAGCAGCTGCACTGACCGTTGGTGTGGAGCGGTGCACTGCAGATGAAATGATCGACTCTGCACGATGTCTACACTTGTGTTCAAATTCCAGGACACGCTCGATGCGGTTTGAGAAAGGTGTGCAGTGATGTGCTGAATGTAGCGCTACACAAACGGGACAAAAACAAAGCTTGGGATCTTCAAGCGCCTCTTTCTGCAACATTGTACAACGGTGTTTTGAGGATGATCCCCTCGGGATTCGAATCATGAATTGGTTGACTTGAAAACTTTTCTGCGAAGTCTCAGCCACATCCATGAACTAAAAGAAGCCAAGCTCTGGCCCGCAGAGCCTGGATGGATTTTTGCAGAGCGTTCTTGCGACGGCGTAATTCCTGTTCCAACAGGAAACCATGGTAGTGATCAAGTCGTTGCAAGTTCAATAGATGACTTTCACAAAGATTGTCTGGGTTCGAGATGGGGCTACTGGACCTTCTGACTCTCACTTCCCGACCTTTTGACTTTGAGTTTGAGACTTTCGCTTTTTGCCTTACGAACGCTGAGCTAGTTTTTTGGCTAGAGTTGTTTTGATTTGGCTTGCATCGTCATGCGGAAGCGCTGCTGCGCTTCTCAATGCACCAGGAGACGAGATATGGAACTGAGGCTCCCATTCCATACGTTCCTTTCCGAACCGGGAACTCAGAAAAATCGATTCATGCCATATGGAGATGAACTAAAATGAGGTGATTGATGTAGTGTACAAGTAACATGACAGATGATTGCACAATAATTATGTAGTAACTAAGCATGAGATAGTGTAGTCTGTAGCCTAGTGTACGTCTGGAAGAAATACCTGTCATGTAATAATTTGTAATCGGTTGGATAGCTAGGAGCGTGACGTACATTGTTACAGTCATGTGCACCATAATCTCTCCCCCCCCCTCCTCCCCCCCCCCCTCCCCCCCCCCCCCCTCAGCCAAGTCCTGGACACGCCACTGTAGTTGGCGCCACTAACGCTATCTTTTAAAGTGCTATTTTGTCAATGTTCTGACCGCCGAAGTGCCAGTAATAAGGACATAACGCAATGTCGCGTATAAAAGCAGTTGCTTACGGCCGTATAAGCCGGGGTTCAAACTATGCTTCTATCCAAGTCATGCTTGTCTTCAAAACATGCTTCTACGTCAACATCAAAGTCACAGTACGTCAGTCCGGTCATCACTCGATAATATGCCACTCGGATTTAAAATTCATGACTGAGACATGCCAAGTGTCTGAGAATACACGAAAGCGAAATACAAAATGCAAAAACATGGCAGGGCGATATTTGAGATGCAAAAGTCTGTTCAGATTTGCAATTGACACATCAAAATCAAGTCAAAATCAAGTCAAAATCAAGTTGACGGTATTAAAAAGCAATGAACATGGCAAGGTAAGGAATTCACAACAATTTTGCTCGTGCAAGGACTGAAATCTGCCAGCAACAAACCAAAACAAAGATTTGGAAAGCTAGGGTGGAAATTTACACTTACAATACCACAACAAAATCCTCATCGCTATCGGCAATCTGCATGGTGATATCAGCTACATCAAGATGAGCAGATTCTTCAGTCAAGAGAGAGTCGGCAGTCGCAGTTGATACAGCGGTCGCAGTAGAGTCGACATCATCGTCGTCGTCGTCGTCTTTACTGGATGTGCCGCCAGCAGCACCGTCGTCAGCAGCCACTTCACCAAGAACATTGGCCTCTTGGTCAAGCTCATCTTCGAACTCTTCGAAAACATTGGCTGGCTGCAGCTGCGCAGGCGGCAATGAGAAAAGCTGTTCAAGACGTTCTCGGTCATCAGCAGTGGGACGACCTTCCTTGGAGCAGGACACCTGGTCAACAGTGGCGCCAGGAACCTGTCCGCAGCAGTTGAAGGAGTTCTTGATGAGGTCCTGTAACAGGGAACGCTTTGACTTCACGATGATGTCGCACAACTTCGACTTCGTAGTGGCACGGATGTTACATGCAGCACTGTGAGTTTTGTCACCTGTTGCCAGCCATTCATCATACAAGTCAGATCGACATCCGGGGCTTGGACAAGCGGGGTGCATCCACCAGGGATCACAGCACTCAGAATGCGTTTTTGGCACCTCTCTGCAGTGACGGAGTCGGTAAGATGGCAGCGATAAGAATCCCACAATAGAACCCTCTTTCCCAAGGCCATGGAACCCATCACTCTCTGACGCCAATCAATTGTCAACTCTTTGTTAAACCATCCATTGTCAGAGATTGTTGTCGGCGAACAGCTTCCTGACAAACACAAGGAAGTCCGTCAACTTGGGGATCAGGTCAGCAGGAGTTCGATGGCTCTGGTGCATCTTCACTCTTGTCATTAGTTGAAGATGCTCCATGATATTCCTACACCATCCAGCACTTAAATTGAACGGTTCCTGTCCTCCTTGCTCGTCGTGAATCCGCTTAGCCATTGCCCGGACCGACTTCCGTGTCACTCGTCGACATTGCTGGCGCTCCGCGACGATCCATTCGAACAGCTCATCTTCAAGGTCACACAACAGCAAATTTTGCCACCGCTGACTAGGCGCGCCCGTGCACGACCACGACAGGTTGTGGATTTTTCTATTCCCTTTAGACTGGCCTCCAGCGACGAACCGTGCTCCCATTCACGTTGTGGAGGCGACTAGCAGCACTGCAGGACGTTTCTTACGCGGACATGATGACAGCCAGCTTGAAAGTAAGGCTGTATTTTTTCTCTTTCCTGTCATCGGTGTCGTCATCTTTGCAGCTGTTGTCAGTGAATCCTCGAAGGAAGAATGAGGATCGACGGTATTGCAACAACAGCTGCGCAGCGGTTTCATTCTACAACGTACACATAGCCAAATTCTCTGTATTTGGTGATCATCATCTGTTTTCTGGTGTGCAAGCTCACCTCTGATGCCGATTACTTCCTTGCTTAGACCCGGTCTGCTATTAGACCAGTCTGCTCTCCCTTCACTCGCTTGTAAATCCTACTTGGAGCAGTAAGGTTGTGTCACTGCTCCTACTGATGTCATTGTTGTGAAAGCAATATCATCGCCATTGGTGGTAATTTTCCACCGTGCATGAATCATTAACAATCATCATCTATGTGTCACGGCCTAACCATCCTCATAACTCCCCGCGTCGTGACTAGTGCTGTACCGTTGAAACCTACTTTGCTTCAGTGTATATTCGCTCCAAAGCTCTTGTTTTGTTGCATAGTGATCTGACGCAGTGTGCTATAGCCTGTCGGGTAATATGGATAAGATTAGTACAGTCGGCATCGCCTATCGAGTGACCAGGTACATGTATAAGGATACTAGTACATGTATACCGGCTTAACGATATCGGAACACAAATAGCACTATGTGTGCAATATTCCTTTCTAAGCGCACGCTGTGCGGTGCAGATAGGTCATTTGTCGTTGCCAACTTGCCGCATGTGCAGCAGGAAGGCACCACATGTCGATTACTACTTATACTGTACAGCATTGTGTGCTTACATGCATCTACGGCCTTGTGGATGCAATTGAGTCTCACATACATGTACATGAAATATTGCGTGTAGTGCGGTATCAGGTGTTAACATACAGTGGCAAATATTTTTCTCGCAATAATGACCGTATTCACCACAAGTGTGTTTATGTCCAGAGCCAACTCAAGTCCTGTATTATTTATGACCATGACAACAAGACTTCCAGGCTGAAATTCTTCTATGACAGGCATGAACACTTGCCTTACAATTGTTCGTGATTGTACGAAGTACATATTCGCTGTTGCATCAATTTTGCACCATTTACATTGTAGTGCCACAAGTGGTATCACGGACACCTGCATGCGTATTGAGTCAAACAAGGTTACCTCTGTATAATTATGCTTATCGTGGCTATCAAGAGCTTCGATGCAAATTCCCAGCTGACGAATGGTGTCCAGCTTGTGTTCAGCTCAGCTGGCACTCACAACTCATAATAATTGCGTTCTAGACGCCAGATGAGATATAAGATGTTTCAGCTACAATGTAGACA